GTCTCTCGGACCAGAGCGCTGGGACAGCAAAGCCGCCCCGGTTGTGCCGTCAAGCATTTGAGAAGACCAGCGACACCCCATGAAGACACGAGCAGTTAGGTGTGATTAGCACTGCCGTAAAAGCCCAGTGGGGGGAATAAACCTTATTAAAGAAAGAAATGGTGGGCTTTTTCTATTTGTAATATGGATACACTTTTTATTTTAATAGAGTCATTATAACAGAGGTATGTAGGAGGTTAAAAGCTACAGCTGAGGGGTCTGAAGATAATGGTGCAGCTATGTTTGCCGCACACTCAAGCAACAGAAACAGGAGGCAAGTTTTCTGTGCAGGGAGGTGCAACAGGTGGGTGGAAGAGCAAAAACTGGAAGTGCCGAGAAACCAGCAATAAGAAAAAAAATCCCCTGCCAAACCTACTAGCTTTCACAGGTCTCAGTTAACCACTAACTGAGGCTGAACTTTGTTTCCCCATGCAGGCATCTGTTAGGCTCACAGCCTGGGGGTCTCACCCAAATCTCCATGTATTCCAGCTGTGTGCCACCACAGCAGACACGCTTTGCTGTGTCAGTGGCATCTGGCTGGATTCAGGGAGTGAGCAGGGGTAAGGCTCATTTTGAGAGGTCGCACTGCTGACACCGCTATTGCTAGTTTCCAGTGTGGTTGGTCAGGTTTCTTTCACAATCAGCTGAAGAAAAATAAGTCATCCACACATTTTGTATGCCCCCCCCACCTCAGTTTTCAGACTGAAACAGCTGCTCAAACAACCCTCCTGGCTGAGGTCTAAAAAAAAAAAAAAGGATTTAAGGTAGAGTAACTGCTGTAGGGAACCCCTTTATATAGGCTGCCCTTATAGAGGAGGATAGGGAAGGAAGGACAAAGGCACACTTAAAGGAATTACATGTTTTTACTTGCTTATTTAATAATAGTGTCTTCTTCCCATATAAAAGCTTCTCTATTCAAATAAATGATTACCTGGTTCGATATCACACTCACTTCTCTCAGTGCTTGCTGGTTTGCTGTTTGTGAAGATGCAATTTGCCCTTGAAGTTGAGGACTGGGGACAAGCTGCTGCTGAGAAATGGCCCCTGACCTCTGCTGTAGCTGTTGTGGCTCTGGCTGCTGAGTATTGCTAAAGCTCAGGGACACCGTCGGCTGCTGTAGGAACATCTGGAAAAGAAGGAGAGGAAGGTTTATTTACATAGCCCAGCTGTCTTGGATAATGAAGGTGACAGAATGAAATCCCAAGATATATTCTAAAATAAAGTTATCACGTTTCTGGATTCACTATGCATTCACTGTTAGTTGGAAATTCCCTATCTTTCCTACATTAACAATTCTGCTGTCTCTAGTTTCTTGATTTCTTGTTCTGCAAGTGCATTCATTACTGGTGAAATGGGTCCTGAAGGTACAAGTCCTCTCTCCGTGGGGCAGGCACAGCCCTCGTAGGAGCAGTTCTCTGTACATTCACCGCATGCTGGGGCATCCTGACCAGAGAGAAGAGAGTAACTCTGTGTCTTTTCAGTCCTTTCCTTTCTCCTTTCAACAAAATCAGCCTGCCTTTCAGACAGGGCTGCTTTTCGATTTGTCTCTGGAAATCCAACACCGTACGCACAGTTGGGTTGTCGAATGTTTTTAATAAGGCCACAGTCGGGCCAGAGCTGTCTGTGTTGAACGGCCGTGTCCTTATCATTGCGAAGATGTGTAAATGGACAGTCACTGTCATTTAGGTGATTTCCCATCAGGTAACTGTCACCTGGAGTTCTGCCTAACCGTGCCATGCACTTGACTTGTGCAAAAGAGCTAGCAGCTCTGTTAGTGTTTCTATAAACAATCTACTCTCCATGCTTGCATTGCAGGATGGAGCTTTCTTCTTTAAAAGTTGTAGGGCTTGGGAAATTTTGCTTTTCTAGGGGCTATTTCCTTTATTACAGCTGTACAGAGGGAAAAGGCATCTTTTAAAATCATGAATTATTAAAGTTACAAGCTATCTTTGCAATACGTCAAACCTAGGCTGTCGCCACCAAGGACCGTACGGAGGTACGCATCCCAGGTAGTTAAAGGCATTTTGAGATCTGATTCTGATTCCACACCACCGCTACACATGTGGAACTCCATTAATTTAAGTGGAGCTACTTAGGGTTTAAATGAAATCAGAATCACAATTAGTCTCTTCATTATTCATCCATCAGTCTCATGCCTAGCAGTACGTCTGAGGTACGCCCAGTAATTAGTACACCTTTCTGCAGCTTATTGCTATATTAACAATTCCCTAAACTACCATGTCCCCTCTAATTTTTCTTGGAAAAACCCCATACCTCTCTCCAAAGGATGGGCACAAAGCATTGCTTTTCTTTGCATAAGTACAGGTTGATCCATCATGTTTGTACTTATTTATCTAGTTTTAAAACACAGGTTTTATTTAAATATGATAAATTTTTAATGAATTTCTGTGTGCCAAGATTTTACTCAGAGAAAAGGTACAGATAAAGCTTACAGTAATCAGCTGAGAGAGGGGGGCAGCTAATGAAAATGTTAATGGACCTAAAGCAATGGCTTGTTTCAGGTGCTGTAGGCTAACCACATCTCAAAGATGTCTGATAGAAATAAATGGGTCAAGTAACAAGAGTTGGGGCTGCTCACAGCAGGTCTGAAACTAGCTCCGAGTGTTTTCTTCTAAAAACACTGATCACTGAGTTTAGAGCCATTACATATCAGAAAGACAGATGGTCTTGCAACTTCTGCCAAATAAATAGGTCTTATTATGAATAAATCAAAGACAGAAATTATGAAAATTCATTTTCTTGTTTATTTTCTGTATATAGAAGCTAAGCTGTGGACATGTTTGGTAAATGAACTCCCTTGATTAGCTCTAGCAATGAAACTGGTCACCATTGATATAAAATTTGATATGAAACATTTGATATAAAATTCAGAACAGGTATAGCAAGTGATGTGTTTCAAAAATGTGATGGGGAGTATGAGCCCACTGGTACTGGCCAGATCACCACGAATTAAGACCTTTAGAAGGATTATCTTAGGTGTGCTCCCTGTACGTGGCGCACAGTGCTGGAGAAATACTAAGTTCATCCAATGCAAAGTCAACATCTATCGATGCAAATCTTAGGCAGGGTGTGAACTTGCAGGAATGACTCACTCTTCAGGGACCTGCCTGTGTGCATGCCTTACTTCCAGATGAAGGCCAAAGAGCTTATCCTTGAAAGAAAGCAGAGTAACCTACTTTGCAATTACCAGAGTGTGCCACTGGGTAGGAACGTGCACAGTTAATGGTTGGCAGCTAACACGCTATAAATTTACAACCAAATTTATCCCAATAAACCAATTCTGTTTGTTCAGAGAGGACTCCGAGTGTTTCATACCCAGGGACCCTCTCTTGCATTATAATGGCCAAAGCAGCATTATTTCTGTCTGAACATACGTGTCCTGGAAAAACAAGCTCAGGGCAGGAAGCGATGGTGCCATTTAACTCGTGTGTCCGCAGAACTGGAAGACTCAAGATGCCTCATCAAAATAAGAGTTAACCTGAGAGAGGATCGAAGTGTAGAATTTCTACCTGCTAGTTAAGCCTAAAAGCAAGAACATGCTTCATTTGTACAAAACTTAATGGTGTTTTTTCATAATGTGCCTCTTTTGTGATAGTCCTGCCTGAATTCCTCTGAAACACTGAAATATGGTAGCTTTAAATAACAACAGAAACTCCCTAATAAAGAATGAAATCTTTCCCGGTCTGAGCAAATCCAAGTAGATAAATTAGCAGCCCCCTAACTGCATTGCTGCTAATGACATGTCTTATGGCTGATTTTGTGGACTGCAAGGTCAGTGAAGCATCTTACAAATATTTTTTAATTGGCCAGCTTGTTAACATACGCGGCAAAGCAGCGAGGGAGGGGAGAGACCCTCTGACACTGCTGCCCCCTCACTCTGAGATAGATGGTCCCTACAGCTAATGGATGAATCACATTGGCAAGACGTCGTGAGGAAAAGGGCTCTTTGACTCTACCTGTCCTTTGGATAATCAGGGGATTATAGCCTTCGGGCTCATCATTACAGACATCAAGACTCTTTCTTTATGTAAAATATGGACAGATGAGAAGCACAGCACTGGGAAACTGAGATTCGCTGACTTTGAAGGGAGCCTGGCTTGCAAATGATGGGTGGCTGTGAATGGTCTCATTTGCACTTCTTGCAGGCTGGTCAGGCTCAGCCCTTCTGCCATCCTCCCCATCCACAATTCATTAGCTAGACTGTTCAAATCTGGAGCTGACACAGCATCCTTCAGACTTCTGAGGTTACTCTTACTGCTCCTGTCCTTCATACTTTAGGTTGCCAGGAAAAGCAGTAACAGGGATTTAATGGGGTTTTGAACGGTTTTGTTCAGGGCCCACAACCCTCCTGCTAGTTTCATCTTTCATCGCACAAGGCTCTTGGAAATAGTTTCTAACGCAGACTACCGTGCTGAACAGCTGTCCGGTTGTGAAAGCGTTTCTTGGTGGACCGCCGTACTGCAGTTTTGAAGATCTCTGACGGAAATGGAAATCAGGCTTAATTCTCTGCAGAGCTACCTGTATGTTTCTGTGTGGAAGGGAGTGAACCAGTGGGGAAGATATGCTAATAAATCAGCTAACGAGGGAAAACCGGAGAACACTTCCCCCTTTTCAGACAGCCTACGGCACTCCCCCATGCTTACAGCTCTTCTACTCAGAATATTAAAGAGACCAGAAATGTGCTTGATAGTAATGCTTGACTGTTTGCTGCTCTGCTTTGTAGCTCTGATAATAGACACAGATCAATGTCTGCAGACATCCAGCTCTCTGAATGATGAAATCTGTGCGGCAAAGCACGTGGTTGGATTTCTGATTTAACAGTTTACTGCTAGCTGCTTGTGAGTCACAAAAGTGCTGCGTGCAACAGCATGAGGCTTTCTTTTAAGTTGCCCCTAGCCAAATAAGGCAAAGCTAATTCCTGGTCTCACTTTATCCCAGTGCAACAGCACAGTAATTTCTTTGGGTGTTTTTAAACTGGAGAAAGTGGAAGTAGGAAAACTCCCTGGCCATGAGTCAGTGTGACCGCTCGCATCTCATCGCCTGGTTTGGTTGCTCTGAGGAGGCCGAAAGGCACTCAAACTACAGAGGATGATCCTCGCCGTCCAGCATGGCCCCTTCAGGCAGATACGCAACCCCTGCATTTCGGAGCTGCCCTCCAGTCCCCCTGCCTCTCAGTTCTGCATCTGCGGTAAGTGGGGAAATGGTCAGCACCAACATTAGAGAACTTGTTCTGCTCTGAAAATATATTCTTTTTGGTCCAACCTGGTATGTTCTTTGTGGGGGAGAGAATCACCCAAATGGTGTAACTCAGAGCTACAAATTGGTATGGGGTGGGCAGTACAGAACTACCCACCGTCTACCCACTGGGTCTCCTCTTCTCTCTGCTTGAGCTCCCTATGAGCATATCTGAGAATCTGTCCCACAGTCTTTGGGTTATTAAATGCACCATAGCACATATGGGAGACAGCTGTGTAAAAATAAAATCCATTTCCTGCATATAAGAATGTGCTCTGATCTTCTATTTTTGCCTGAATTATGAAAAAAAAAAAAAAAGAAAAAGGGATGAGTGTCTGTGACTATGGAAGACTTCACCAGGAGAGAATAATGGTTTTCACCCAATTAAAAAGAGAGGAAGTGAGAATATCATGTCTCTTGATATTCATAATAACAATAATAGCTTTCAGACATATGACATGATTCTGAACTGAAGGCCAGTTAATTGCAGAGATTCTTTCCCTTCCCATTAATCAAAGTCAGCGCAGAACCAATAGAAGAAATGGACTGAAGTTAAACCTGGTCTACCTATATGCTTGTATGGCACCAGGAACAGAGAGTCCTGGTTTTGGGATCCACCATTGCTGTGCTGTCTTACTGCAGCACACACTCAGCAACATAGGTGGCAAAGTTTCTAATTCGGCTTCACTGATCTCTTAATTGCCTAAACCTATAATCCCAGTTTATTTTAATATGTGAAACTGTATTTCACAGACGCTGATGACGGGTGAGAGTCTATTTCTGTGGAAGTTGGGAGCAAAATTCCCACTGACTTCAGCAGGTCCCAGGTTTTCATCCTGTGCTGAAAATGTTCTTTGAGACATTTGTTTCTTTGACAGCTTTCCTTCTAAAAAAATCTTGTTAGCACAATACTCACGGTGGGTCCCCAAAGCAACATTTCTAGCAAGGGTCATTTCCCCTGGCATTTATAGTTAAATTATGAGGGACATAGCAGTAATCACCCCGCGTTTAGAAAACTTCCATAAAACTGGATGGCTTGTCCATTTGTCATTAAGTGGAACCTGCGATGTACTGAACTGCACTTGCTATTATTTCTGAGCTTTGGTCGACATGAGGGGTAGTACAAAGCAGAGACAGTACTTGGTGAATTCTAGCTCTGTGTAGGAGGTATCAAAGGCAGAAGAAGAGCAGGCTTACTCAGCTTCACCCTAAAGGCTTAAGCTGGTCCAGTGAAGAACAAATTCAGACATCTCCCAGGTATGAACAAATGAATATCAGCAGAGGTTTGGGTTTTGTTTTAACGTGGCAAGGAAATCAATCTCTTGTGCTCTGTATCCACGCTGGGGTAGGGTCAGGAAAACAGGGAGCGAATGAAAGAGATGAGCACTGCCTGAAGGAGGGCTGTTGGCTAAGGAAGAGCTGGACAGACGAGATACTGAGCATGAGTGATGCCAACACGAAGCAAGCAATGACTGAATGGAAGTTAATGAACTGGAGAGACATAATCATTGCCAAGTCTGAACATGAACACTTTTCTATTACAGCTGCTCAGTCAGAAGACTCAGTAGATAAAATTATTAAAATGTTACTGTAAATGATGCAAATTCTTCTCCTCCTCCTAAGGTTGAGATATTTCTTCCTTCTCGTCTTCCAGAGAGCTCTTATAATCTTTCTTGACCTAGTTTACTCAAGAGGCTTTCAGAGGGCAACATTCTCATTCATATGAGCTGGTTTCCACATGTCCAGATTTCCTGGACTCTGGGGCTAATTTTAAGTGGCCAACCCTATCAGCGGCCACGTGAAAGAGGATGCTTCGCTCTGCCCCTCCCAGCAGCGACGCACCTGTACGCTGGAGTCCTGCACCAGGCAGAGCTGCTCCTGTATCTTCTGGAGCTCCTCCTGCTGCCACCGGATATTGGCCTGCAGGATCCGGGTCCGCTGCTCTAGCTGGTCCTTGATGGTCTGGAACATGCTGAACTGTGCCGAGAACTGGGGAAAAAAAAAGGGGGGGGGAGGGGAAATCCGTTATTATAATACGAACAGGTCTCAATAGAACATTGTTCTGTAAGAAGTTATTGGCTTCTTGATTGTAAAGCACAGCCAAAGGAATAAAAGATGTGTTTGTAATATACTAACATCTAGGCAGAGATAAATCTTGTCTATTTTCAATTTTACGCACATATATTAAATTGCCTCAGTTAGAGTGATCTGCTTACAGCTGACCCTGTTCTTTTAGGGAATTATCAGCAAGACTGTTTTTGAGAGTATGCTACTTTAAAATATCAACAGCATCTTAATTGGATGGCAAATGAGTGCATTATTTTTATTAGCCTGTAGTTTGGAGCCCTTAGTGTGGCATAACTGTATATTCTGGAAGTGTTTTACTAATGCTTTCCTTTTTCCGCACAGAAACAGCAGTGCTGCAATGGTTTATTCTGCTGATGACTTACTATAGCATTGTGCAACAGCTGACCACAATAAACATTTTCTAGCTTTCTGCAGCTATTAGTGAAGCTACAAGAAATACTCATTAATTTGTTTTTATATGTGATGTAAAATGAATAGCTCAGCTCAGTGGGAGAAAGGCTATTCTAAATAATACTGTAAAATGGAGATCACTAATCAGGGTCAAGAAGAAAGTGCAACCTCCAGTAGCAGCAGTGCTTGGCACAAAGTGGAATCATTCAATAAGCACGGAGAGGACTAACACAATGATAAATTCCTAGTTTTATATGGTGTTATCGGGTATGATTCAAAGTCCACCAAAGTTAATTATTACTTTAATAGGCTTTGGAATAGTTGCTTTGCATGAGCTCATATTCCGAAAGTAAAAAAACAGTCTTTGGAAAAAAACCCAAACCAAAACCCACTTCCAAAAGTCCATAAGCTTTTCTATAATCAAGGCATCCAAGAGCTCTCTGAAAACATGTGGTGCTGTGAATGTCCAGGCAAAAGAAAAATAATAATTTTCCTGTGACTTGAAAATGGTGCCCTGTTGCTGTGGTTGTTCCAGTGGCTTTGTGCTGCTGGGTGAACTGGTGCACGCTGCTGGAGCCTTCCTGCTCCATAGAGGTGCACTTGCTTACACCATTTCTGGCTCTTTACTAGGAAAACAAAAATGGTAACGAGAAGGGAATTACGGAGAGCTCTGGGGCTAGCAACACTGTACAGTTAAATGAGATTTCTGGCTACTTAGAGAAATCCAAATGTGACTGGTCAGATTTGTATCAGATAACTGCTTTGCCTTAAACCAGCTAAATACATGAAATAATACCTTCACATTGCCTTCAGCAAACAGCTGAAATCTCCATGTTAATGCCCTTTAGGTGAGAAAGGATGAGAACTTTAGAGGGTTTATTTCTATTTACCAGGTGGAGGGCGGCTTCCCTGCACAATCCGGGAGGTCACCGCTCAAAGAGTTACCTCACGTGACAAGCCAGAGGGGATTTTCATGGCCAGCCCTGCTTAGGAGGAAGGAGGTCTGCTAAGGTGGCACGTGTGGTTGCTGCAGAAGCCCCCCAAGCCCACTTTGGTGGCAGAGGCACCTGCGAGCGCTCGCAGCTTGCACCGCCTGCCCCGGGAGATAAGGCCAGCGCTTGGCCTTCAAACAGCAACGCTGTCATCTGCAACCCCGGTCCTCCCCCAGAGCAGAAAAATGGCGTCAAAGCTCCCAAAGGGAAGTTTGCATTACTTCTAATTGGTGTTAAAGGGGGGGAGGTCAGAGCTGCGTCTCTCTCTTTTTCTAGTCCATGTGTGAAGTATGAAGCCGAGGAAGGGACGAGTGGAAACCTCTGATGTTTGGGAACAAGGACAAGTGACTCCAAGGGGCATCCAGTGCTGCTTGTTCTAGTCCAAATGCATGTTTCTGAAGAGTCCCAGGTACCCTGAGTTTACGAGTCGAATGACGCTATAGCTTGAGTAGGTAATTCCTGCTTTAAACTGGATCCGTACAGGAGTTTTTAAAAGAGCTGAGTCTTGCAACCTCGTTCTCTCTATATGAACTCTATTATTGAGGACTACTCTTGAGTGATTAAAAGAAAGGAATCAGAAAGGAATAAAAAACAATTTTAGCTAAAAGCTGCCTGGCTTGCGGATGGTAGTCTTTTCATTAACATGCAAACTTCTTGAAGACATTTTGGGAAAGAAACCCAATTTTCTTCAATTAATAAATGTGAGGAATTTCATAACAGATAATTTTAGAATAATTTTATACTTCAATAAGAAACAAAATCCATTTCCAGGCCTTAGCTTTGAATTTGAATTTGCTTTGCAAAGTTTCATGCAAAAATATATTGCTGTTGATTTTAAGTTCTTATTCCTTAATATTTTTTTTTCAGCACCATCTTATATTTAGCACATTCATCTAGTATTGTCTTTTTTTGCTCTCTTTTTGATGTGCTTTTTGTATTAACACACTTGACAACAACGATTAGCTGGTCTACTAGAGTGAGAGCCATTGCGGAAGAAGACAAGGAACTTTCTCTTTTGCCTTTTTTCCCCTTTCCCACTCTAACCCCCAAATGTCTCAAGAACTCTAGCCATGACCCCTGTGACTACAGAGCTTCTATTGTTTTTGTACAATGAGATACTAACAGCAATTGACCTGCACCAGAGAGTGTTTATCTCAAGATCATTAACCGCTCTACTAATTAGGGAAGAAATCTGTAATTGTATAATAAATTAAAAGATAACTCAAAATGTTTTGCAGAAAACACTGCACAGCTTTAACTCTGCCGTTTGCATCAGATGCAGTTGCTCTGTCTCACGTGGGTATTTACAAACTGCTGTCAGATCCTCAGAAAAGTGCATGTTATACACAGAAAAGCTTTCCACAGACAGTCGAACGTGGAAGACTAGACACGTGGGATATCTATAATTGCAGAGGATCACCAGTTTAATCAAGGTTTGTTAACGCAGACAAAGCCCCCACAGCATTAATGTTAGTCTGGTTTCTTAAAAAAAAAAAAAAGTGATGCTTTTGGGATTGTGTCGGCAGGTGTTTAGGTAGGGATCCGGCACAATCCACCTACGGGATGGTCCCCCATTTCAGATGTGATGAACAAAAAGATGGACACCTCAGAGAGATTCTGTTCCTACAGGTTTCATGACAATAGGTTGCTAGGTAAAGGAAAGAGACCCTATTTATTTTTTAGCTCAGTTTCCTTTAAACCTTTCTTTTCTGCCTATCTTGCAACTTTCAATCCTTCTGGCCAGTGCTAGAGACATGCAACAGACCTGTGAGAATCTCAAAAATACCAGGGTGTTGTAATTTCATGAAAGCTATAGCTGAGCAAAGGAGAGAGGGACCCGCTCATTGCCCTCCTGCGGGGAAGGCTGGGTCCGTGTGCCAGCCTTGCAAGGCTCAGCCCCTGGGAAACCAGGTTTCATTAGTTTTGCAGCTCACCGAACAACTTGTTCGTTCTTTCTGTCTTCTGAATAACACCTGCGTAATCCCAAACGGATTATTAGTGCTAATTATTATTCAGTCATCAACATCCGCTGTGTTGTAGGGGATTTTAATTTATTACAATGAGGAAGGCAAACAAACAAATATTCTAATAGGGAGCACTTGGTTTAAAGTAAACCATTTATATTCAGGCGACATCTAGTACTGTGCTGTCTCGTCTGTTCATTCAGACCAGCAAGGCAGAAGCTAAAACCTCATTTTGGTGGAGACAAAACCATCGCAGCCTTTGCTCGAAATAAAACTAATCAAAGTTCAAGCAGATGGCGCCCGAGGCGGGAGCTAGCTGCTCGCTGCAGATGCGGTCGAGGCTGCCTAAAATGTCCTTCCTCCCCGCTGCTGCCCCGTAGCCGAATGTTAGCCCCAAGGACGGCCGTCGGAGTGGCGGGCCGCGCGTGGCCAGGCTCAGCACGCTGCCTTTCAGCTCCCGCCATCGGTCACCTTCAGCTGAGGGCGAGCGCTGGAAAGGCAGCGGGGAGCGACCTGTGCAGCTCCTCCTCGTGGGTCGGCAGCGGGGTGCCTGGTCATGCTATCTCTAAAAGCGATGAGCTTGTTTTCTGCTGCTAAACGGCTGCGAAACAGTCAACTAAGAAACTGAGGAAAAGTTCGTGGTGGGAAGCACGCGGACCTGGGCTTTGTCACTCATTCGCTTAGCGCTGCAGGCACTTTGTCTTTTAAATAATGGATTATCATGCTGTAGGCTGACATGTTTACTATTTTAAGGTGGGAGGTAAGCAATTGGAAGAAAGCAATTAATACTTTATGAAAATCACCCAAGTCTGTGGAGAACTGCTACCTTTCCCAGGAGTATCTCCTTGCTGTGTGAGCCTCAGCAACCTGAGCTGCAACGTCCCGCTGCTATTTCCCTGCTCCCCATCAAGAGAAGCTCCATCTTGAGCTTCGCCGTGAGCATTGTGCTGTGACTTTGCTGCCAGTCGAGACGACGGCTGCCGGAGGGCTGCCTGTGCAGACAGATTTCAGTGAGCCCTCTTCCCTTCGCCGAGATTTAGCCAGTCCAAAGAGGCTGAACCAGTGGCCGTGCAACTGGACGGCACTCCGATTTGGCGGAGAAGAAATGGAGCTGGCGTGCCAGTAAGAGCGTTTGACCGGGAAGGGGCAAGGCTGCGAGGCTCTTGGTAAATGACTGGAAAGCATCTCTTCAAAAAGAGCTTTCATGGAGAAGAAAGGGAGGTAGAAAAAAGTCAAATAAAACATGTGCAGGTTTATAATAAATAAACTAATTGATGTTTGGAAGTGCATTAATGAATAACGGAGAGAAATATCTGTAAAAGAAAATGAATGCTCAGAGCAGATAATTGATATGCTGTTTCTTCGCTGCATGCTGGTGTGGAGTCGTGAAAAGAATATTAAACATAGAAGATAAATGAGAATTTGTTATTTTAAAGCAGGGTTCCTCAGGACTTTATATGCTTTATATGCTACAGGAAGAAACTCTGGGATCTTGTGAGGGAGTACAGGGTACTAATAGTAAAAGCAGCCTAGGTTCAGGACTACTCTGTCATTTCTAGAATTGGAGGATGATGGGGTATATCATCACAGCATGACCACAGGAGAGAAACAGTGTGATGGAAACATGGTACTCAAATTTCCTCCTTCAAAATCCACCAAATGAAACACCAAGGTGACTTTTTGGGCCATCATATACAGGTTAATAGATTTCACTGGAGGAATTTGTCTCCAGCGGCATCCTCACCATTACTGGCACACTCCCAAAATGAGTTTTGTTGGATTTGCATGGCCTTTACTGGTGGTTAGTCCTGCATTAGCACAGCCAAACAGGTGTTTTTAGGAGGACTGTGTGTCTTTGTCAGTTTTTGGTTTTAATTCTCATTCTGACCTTGTTTTTGGTGGGACCTGATTCTGTAGCAGCAAACTTGAAAACTATCCATCTGTTTTTTGTCCTCCTGTGAAATAGATATCTGTGCGCACCTGAACCTACATGCACCTGGGCTTCTGCTCTGAATGCCTGTATGCAGATATATGTTTAAACACACAAGTGTATGATTCAGATTACTTTCCCACAATATTTTAAGTGTTTGAGAGCTGGTGGATTTGGGGATTTTAGCTACTAAAGAGGTAACCTAAAAGCCCCAAAAAGAGAAAATATCAGGAGATAGGAAAGTGACCTGTTCCACTTCCAAATTCCCAACTAACCTGTGCCAGAGATGCAGGCTGATTTTGCAGTGTTGCTTGAGGCAGCAGCTGCTGTGGGAGAAGCTCACATGAAGGCTGAGAAGGCAAAGAAACCTGAGTTAAAAACAAAACAAAACAAAACTTTATTTACAAGTTTGGCTCCTTTGTATTTTAAGTTTCTTCTAATGCCATGGCTTCTGTGCAAGTAGTTTTTAATTGCTAAGCTGCGTATGTGGCACACGCTTTATATTGTCTGCCTATTTTGGTGAGTCTTAGTGAAGTTACCTGAAGAGCAGTAGGTTGACTGAGTCTATGCACGGATAAATCCTGCTGCGCGCTCGGTGTTCTTGGCAAGGGAGCGTTAGACTCTGCAATCAGCTTTGTTGGTGTAGCTGCAAGAAAAGTACCGGTGAGTTCTCACACGCTGGAAACCATCCCCATTTGAAGTGGGAATTACAACGAGACCTGGCGAGAAACGATTACGGCCTGGCTAAATTCCAACAGGAGTCAAGGCTGTTCTTGTTGACTTCAATGGCAGTAAAATTAAACTGATAAGGAGGGCCTGGGCAAAGATAAAAGTAAATGAGACAGATTATGATTCTGTGCTCCAGTGAATGGAGCAAAAGGACCCAGAAGCTGTTCTAAACCAGCTGGAACTCCCTTCATATGGGCCAAACAACTATAAATTTAGGTTAGCTCATTGGCTTTTCTTCCAGACCATGGAGCAGAAGGAGTATATAAGGTGTGCCCAAGTCTTGGCTGGAGCATCCTGAATCTTGGCCAGAAGAGAATCACTCACAGGCTGTTATTAGTCATGTAGGTCTAGGGGGACCTAGTATTGCTTATACTGATGCCTTTAAATCTGAAGTCCTCATTTTTGTAACAGATCAAAGCAGCAGGCCTCATGGCTAGTCCCGCTACCCATTTTCCAATGTATGGACGGTTGCACTACAACCTTCCCTCTTGTACTTTACCATTTCAGATTATGCACTTCATCGTTAGTGACAAACAGATATCATCAATACCTCATAAATAACTGTTAAATTGGCAGCTGTGGTATATAGGCACACATTCTGTAACTTGGCTAAATTAAAAATAATGCAGTAACCCAGGAATGCCACTCACATGCTGGGTCTGACTTGGGTGTGTGGGAAGATTTTGGTGAGCTCCTGGATGATACCGAGGGTGTCCGACTAGCGCTGAGGATTGAGGCACCGATATCAAGTGCGTTAAAGTGCTGTTCAGGATCCAAGCTGGCACCACTGTCCTAAAATAAACAAACAAAAAGGGAATAGCTATTGCATCTGTCAGGGTGAAACCATTTTGAAATGCATCTGGTAATGGTTGCACACCCTGTTCTTTGGCTGGCCTAAAATGACTTGAGCAGAATTAATCCCAGGTAGGCCAGCAGAAGACCTGGGCACAGGTGTCAACATCCCTTCCAAATAGCATCTAACTAATGCATTTCACAAAGAGCTATCACTGAGTTGGAAATAAACAGCAAGCTACTGGCATAGCAATTTTGTGCCTTCAGATGTTTTTCTGAATCCTTCTTTTGCATTCAGTTGGACATGACAGCAACTGCAACCTCTCTGAGACATTCAGCCGTGCACCAAAGAGGAGATCTTCTTTCTTCCCTTAGCCAGGACAGCTGATTGCCAGAACATGTCCAAATGAATCTTCAAACTGTAGTACCTCACCAAGACAAGGTGGAGATATCTCACATTGCCCCTGCCCATGTTCTGCTTAATTTGTGGCTGTTACTGATCTCCAGATTCATGATTCCTTTCATGAGCTTATCCAATTTGCTTTAAAATTCTTCAAAAGAGCAATGCATTCTGAAGCTGTGGGAATCCACACAGAAGGACAATTCTGGAGCCTTCACTGATGTGAACATAGGAATGAGTTGTGATTACTACATACATTCATGAAAAAACCCCAACTTTTCTCATTGTACCTTTAGTGCTGAGGACACAACCTCTGATGACACTTCTTCCAAGCCCATCTCCTGTCTCCGCTCCACCCGAACATCTGCATAACTGAATGGAAAATATAGTTCTATGTATCAACACGGTATTGTTATATTTCATAAAATGTGCTTTAAGGAAATGGAGGAACACATTATTGTGACATTTTGCAGGTTAAATGAACAGCTGAAAAATCACTTAAGTCAAATGCTACTGAATAACATTTGAGAGACTGTTTTCATTTTCAGTTTTTGCTCTGTTCCTGTCTTCTTGAAGTCAAAAAGTATATTAAAGAAGTGTATATATATAAAGGTCAAGTTCACATCCTACAACCACTTTATAACTTCATTGGAAAGCTTCCACACATCTCTTTAAAAGCAATGTAAGGATTAGAGGAAGTGAATAGTTAAGGGATCTATTCCATAATTTTGCACAAAATGGAAAAATGCAACAGTTAATCTGCCCCTAAACTCATGATTGACAAATCAAGCTTAGCATAAAGTAAGGTTTAGTCTGATCATTTTTTTATAAGGAACGTATTTCCGTCAGAGAAGTCAGGCTTCGTTTTTGTTACATAAAAGACATCATGTTTCTAAGAGAAAATGTTGGCAGTCATGAGGATGCCCTTATCTTACTGTCCTTTACGTCCCCGCTGGTTGACAGGAGTTTCCATACCTTACCACCATGTGTGTGCACACAATGAACTCTGGCTTGGAGTTCCACTGGTGGTAGGTGATATAGTAATGGGTCTGGAGCCAGATCCACTGCTGTCCTTTGGTCAGAAACCGATAGCAGCACGACTTCCCCTTGCCAAACTGCATCACTGTCAGCAGAAAATACACACAGCTTGTAGCACAGTTTCCTATGTGAAAATGACATGAAATGTGAAGAGAGTGACAAAAATATCTGGGGCCCCATCGATTCCCAAGGGAGACAGGTGTCTGAGCACCTCTCAAGTGGTCCTGTCAGTTGTGTGATAGAGCAAATAACGTAAAGATCAGTAGGTATCTTCTTCTGACACTTTGAACGGTACGTTCCCACACAGTACAATTAACCTTAACTTTGGACACTAATGCATTAATGTCTGCTACAACTTAAACATAGATCTTACCCTGGTTTATGTGCTGATCACATACTGCTTAATTAGGCATCTGGGATTAATCTCTAAGAGTGATCATCTTAAGTTCTCTAGCAGAAAAGTACAGGATAAAAATGCTTGAAAAGATGAGTATTCTCTGCAGAATGAAGTGAGTATGGCAGATAACAACATTGTGACAAAGACAAAAATCGTTTGAAAGAAAATTCCCAGACTGGCAAGAATTCAAAGTGCAGTAAACTGCTGTGTATTAAAGGTTTTAAAGATTCACCAACAAAATTAAGCTCTGCTTTTCCCCCTCAGTGATTTCAAGGGGTTCCCAAATGTGCACATATTTAGCCTTTCAATATTTTAACGTCAACATATAAAAACTAATGTTGATGGGATATTTTCAGGACACCCAGCGGTGGTAAGCTGAGATGTTCCAGCCAGTTCTGTAAGCAAATATTTGAAAAGCATTGACTCATTTTCTTTACTTAGTGAAAGAGTTTTTCAATTAAATCTTAATAGACTATATTTAAATAATCACAGGTAATCCCAAATACATGGTGAATGACATTAGGGTAAATTATCCGCCAGAATTTTACAAAATGGGATCTCCTCTGAGATGGCTTGAACTATTCCTGTATATTCTTTACTAGTAGAGCAGGTGTCTAATCTGGTGTGTTTTATCCATTCAGTGAGTCTCACTGACTGCTTCTGGGGATACAGAAGGTAAAATTGTATTTTTCAGAGCTTGATAAGTCTGGCCCGGATGCCGATCAGCTGCGGTGCCCCCAATCAGCTCTAACTCTGCTAAGACACACAGGTGCGAGGCAGGGGTCAAACCTCATCTTCCAAGTTTAAACCAATTTTAACTGAAACTGCATTTCACTGAAAAGAGGTGTCCCAGTGACTGCACAGGAACCGGGGCTATGCCGTACTTACAGTGTTCATGGCACCTTGCTAGCAGCTCTAGGTCATCTATATGGTAATAGTCGTAGCCAGAAGTACCCAGCACTTCAAAAGGCAAGTATCCTATAATCGGCGGTGCTCTGCGGTTAGGCACAATATGAGTGAATTCATAAACCACGAAAGAGACAGCAGTTCTGCATGTTGACACGCATACGTAAAAAGCCTGGATCTGCTCTCGCTCATCGGTGTACGGTCGTCCACCCCAGGGGATCGGATCCTGACTCCCCCCCCGCCTTGTGCCTGGGATGCCTGCCTGGGCACGGCACCTTCCCCCCAGGACAAGGCCATGACCACCCCATCTTTCCAGCGAAAATGCGGTTGTGGAAAGCCACTCGGCTTCTCAGGGACCTTCACAGAAGAACCTGCTGTGAAGGAGCCATTCCCTGGCTGTTCCTTGGTCAAGGGCTCTGCTGTGGCTCCCGTAGTCCCTGCACGGGGAAAAACACGTTGGCGAGGTGATAGGAAGCCATCATCTGCTGGGACTAGGGGGGTAGGAGGGGAGATCAACTGTGCCGCTTCCCTCAGGGTGTCTGCAGAGCTCGTCGGTGGCGTGCTGAGGAGGTTGCTTTGTACCTTTGCCAGCACGGTTGCCTCAGGCCGGCGCAGACTTTCCCTCCGTAACTCGGTGGGGAATTGCACACGCACAATCAATGGCTGGGTTTGGATGGCTGGATTTGGAAAGAGGGATTTCGGGGGCTGTATAATAATTAGATGATTTTGCCGTGTGACAGACTTTGGTCCATTGATATTTTTAAAGCAAACAAGAACAAGCTAATCACAATTCGGCCTGAGAAACGGAGTAGTTTTGTTTTAAAAGACTGATAAAAATAAATGCAGGGTAAAACAGTAGATATAATCTTTTGCAGGAATTTCAGTGGCTGCCCTCCTGTTCAAATGTGAAACGTAACACTATTTGAGTGAATTGCACTTACGAAAATAGCAGCAGACAAGCACCGAACACTACCAGGACTGCTTTTCTTGTCACCAACCTGTGGTCCAGGAATAAAAATTTCCACTCCAGACTGTGTCTTGATGTGAATTCCTCTAGAGGTTCTTCCACGATGCACATCTCCTGTATGGTGAAGAAAACCAACTTACCGAGAGTTGCGGCTTCACCCCTCTGCTTCATCTAACTTTAGTTAGCTATAAATGCATGGTGCGTAAGAGGAGAAAACAAAGGATTCACGTGTTTTCTGGCAAATCCAGAGAGCTATCTATTGTATTTATGAATGCCAACATTTTTGCAGAAGTTGGGGAGAAGAACTTGTGATGAGCACAGACCTAAGAGCCATGACTGTTCCTTGGGGTGCCATAGTTTTTGTGGCTTTGAAGCAGTGCCCGGGGCTGTACTCCCCACAGCCCGGAGGAGCGATGCTCATTCCCAGCACCCAGCCTGTGCTTGGTCCCACCTGGGTTTGCCACATCTTTCCTCACTGTCTTTGTGTTACTAAAGATACCCACCACCCTTTCCCGGCCCTTTTGGATGTCTGCCCTCCGAGCCCTCTTTGGGAAAGGTGGAGGACTCTCCTTCCCACTCAATAGCTGGGGGCACTACGTGCCGTGGGGGGGTAAATGCCTTTTCAGGCAGGCAGCCTGCGTGGAGCCCATCAGGTGGGTGGAATGTGGTAGTTTTACCTTGTGCTTCACTCCCGCGGTGGCACGCTTGGCACCCCAGTGCCAGGTGGGAAGAAACTGGCCCTTAAGACTCATGGCAGCCCTTGGCACTCATGAGAATGATAATTAATAAGTGAATTACAGGAAGCAGGGTGCAGGGCTGTCTGTGAGGGAGGACATCCTTGGTCCAGAGGCACGGGGATCAGGATGTAGTTGACAGTGATTAGTTGTTCGGTGGAGGTGGGAAGGGGAGGAAGGACGGCACCACGGAGCATGCCCGTGCATGGGCTGGGGCTGGCTGCGTGCCTCACTGCTGACCCTCTGCAGCTCCCCTCTGCCGACCTCTCCTCTCCCAGTGGCGATTTGCAGGGGCAACTGCAGCTCCAGGAGCTGTCAGCCTGGAGACGCCTGGCTAGGACTTGCCAGCATCAGCGATTGGTCAGGATTTGGTGGCATCCAGGGTTACTGTGTCTTCCATGTCTCTCCTGCATGAGGGTCTCCACTGTCACTGGCAAGGACAGCCCGACCGCTGCCCCCCAATGCTGCTGGCCCCCTGCTACATCCCCTTGTGCAAGCGACACCCTCTCATCATCTCCTCTGGTCTCTTTCAGGCCACCAATGTTTGAAACCCTCTTGGGACCAGAGGAAAAGCTGAAGTGCACTGCCGTCAAGTGTTTCTTTGATATATATCAATACTCACAAAGTTGATTAAAGTTGCTGACAGTACAGTGGCAAAAGGCTTCATGCATACCTTAAATTCCTCTCTCCCCTCCTCCAGTTTACACCAAAATCCATGCTGATATCAAGAACATACCCTAAAATTCAAGGTGCAACATGCGAACAATGCTGCGTGCAACCAAAATGCTGATTCTGCCTTGCTTAGCCAGGCAGATAAATAGTTTTGCCTTCACTTTAGAGGAGAAAGTCAGGACCAGGGGTTAAATGAGTCACCCAGGTGAACTGAAGAGATCAGTGCTGAGGGTTTCCTGGCAGCTAACACCTTCTCCCCTCCCCTAGCACTGGGCAGCTCATTGCCGTGTGCAGCCCATTTCATTTCCCTGTTTATTTTGAGATGTTAGCTACCCAAAGACAAGGGAATTTGCTTTCAGGGTTCCCAGAGAACCTTAACTCCAGCCTCTACTGCTAATATGATTACTGTGGTTAAGATTTATGGGATGTGTCCTCACTTACTTACCCAGAAGGGACTCTGCTTGCCTCCCGGGGCCATGAATCAGTTGAGAGTGCCCCTCAGGTCCCTGAGCAGTAATGAAGCCAGGCCAAGGGAGCAGTGATTTCATACCGGCTAGTTCTCAATTAGACTTTTTAATCTCCTAACCTCTGAGGATGGGACGCCTGATGTAGTAGCTCATATTTGTTAATTAGGGAACCACAGTGCCAGGCACAAGGTTGCGTGGTCTATCCTTATTTCCAGAAGCAACTATCTTACTACCAGGATTTGGGAGAAGGAAAACTAGCAGCAGCCATCTGAAGACACCGAGAGGCACAAATGAAAGCACTGGTGGCCATCTGTACACTGTCCCGTCGCAGGAACAGAAAGCAGCAACGAAGAACCCAATTTCAAAATGATTTTCCAATTCCTAATGCAACGAGGGTTTCCATTTCCTGTGCAAGGGGGGCAGAATTGACACAGCTTCTGCAGATCCTGGCTCGCACTGATAATCCTCTTCCCTGGATTTTTATGCATGAAATGTGATATCTGTAATCCATTCAATTAGCAAAATTAAGAACTTTGCGTGTCACCCCATCTGAAAGTGTTTTGAGAAGTTCTGAAATGAATGGGATCCAGGGTACACACTTACCTTTAAAAACTGAGGCGTTGCCAAACGAACAGTCGCAACGAAGCAGACCTGCTTTCCCGGGGATGTTCTGTAAGCCCTTGGGACAGCCTCGTCAAAGCCATTGCAAGTGGAGTTAGGCACTAGGTAGGGAAAAAACCGGGACCCAGAGTCATGCCTCATAGGAGATTTGCTCTCCCTGAATATTTTGCACACTTGAAGCATACTAATACTAATTTTATTCAGAGAAGTGCTCTAAAAGCTTTTAAAGCTTGATATGCATATATTTAAATCCAAGTCAGTCATGTTAGGCAGAAAGACATCAGAGCTTAACTTCAAGTATGAATCTTACAGGTTAATCCTGATAAAAATAAGGCCAAACCTTATTACAGAGCATAAATCACCTTTCTGGAAAGAAACCCCATGCATCCAATTGCTCTTTTTTACCACTCACAAGGAAAAAAAAATAAAAAAATGCTGCAGCACGCCTAGCCCACTGACTTCCATGAGGCAGTGAAAAAAAGCATTGGCAAGGGAGGCAGCTGAAGAGAGTTCATCAAGTCATCAGTGGCAAAACACCAGGGCTCACAGCCAGCGAGGCTTCATCGAGCTAGCAAGAGGCTGCTTGTGATTCTCAGCTGCTGAAGGGCGCCTTCCCCTTCTGCAATAAGGAGAACTGTCCCCAGCCTGCTCAAATTCTCCTTGTTTTAAAGAAGAGCAAGGAGGACCCCGTGTATGGCACTGGCTTCCAGAGCTGGGCATTTCTGGTGAGTCTGCAGATGGCCTGCTGTCTCCTGAAACACTGGGCAGAAGGAAAAACTGGATGTGATGTGGCTACAGATTTTATGTGTTTTTTATTTTTTTTTTATCTGTGTCTTTTGTGATTGCATGGCTCGTGTTGCTTCTGGAGCCCACTAGGACCTCCTGCCACAGAGATGTGTTGCCAAAAGAACGTATTGCCTTAAGCTAGCCCACAGTCCCATGTTAGAATGACATAATGCCAATTCTTCCTCCAAATTTGAGCTGTTTAGAGATGGTAATCCTGCTCCCACAGCAGTGAAAGAAAACTGTGTGCTAAGGTGCAGTGAGAACTGGTCTGGCCCCATGGGCTCTTGCCCTGCCCAGCCAACTATCTCCCATGGGGGCAGAGAAGGTCCCACCTAGCAGCCAGAGTTCACCAACGTGAGTTAATCTAATGCTAATAGGGATTAATGCTAATATGAAACTGTCTTTCCTTACTATTAGGCCCCTATATCCAACTTTATGAAGTTTCCTACAGTTTGGCTCTTCTGCAGAGGACAAAGCAAGGATAAGCATCTCCATTCCTGTGAAAATGAAAAACTTTGTATCTATCCAGGGAGGATAGCAATTTTTATTCTGTGGTGCTTCTGCACTGGACTTTAGTTCACTAGCATAAATTGTAGAGATTGAAGAAGTCTCAACTTATCACATGTGCTTTTGGAACCCAGTTCAACCTATAAAAAGCCTTAGAATAATGATACATAGCTGATAACAAGGACAACAGGGTATGAGACAGAAAAAATAAGCACTCTGAGAAGAATTCACACCTGTGATTAACTGATTTAGGCTACTGCATGCACAATGTATATTGTGCCAAAAAGGGGAAGAAAGATTCCTCATCTGAGAAGGCAGCACAGATATGAACATCCACAGAGATTACAGCCCTCTCTTGCAGTGGAGTCTGGAGGGCATGGCTGGCTGGATATCAAGATAAAAAATATGGGCAAAATTCTCCTCCTTTCACCAGCAAAGCACACTTGCTCTGGGGACTTCCTAGGAATATGTATTCCCGCTCTGCTCCTGAGGTTATGTGCATACATGAGGGCTTCTATGGGATTATTAATACAAGAGGTGGAAAAAAAGAAAGAGTTAGGAGCCACAGGAAACAGGAGAAGCCTGATTAAAGAGTTATTGGTTCTTCTCTGATAGGATTATTTTGTGCAAGTCTTTTGATTTCTGTAGTCAGTCCTGTTTAAAAATGAATGGGATAGCTACAAACCCGCATTAAGGACAATGTAAAAAGTTACTTCCAAGCTTACTACATAATATGTTGCCACATTTGAAGTCAATGGGGCCATTTCTCTCTGTAATGGCCAAGTTCAGTTTGCAGGCTGGGCTCAAAGACACGAAAATAAGATAAACGCATTTGGCCTCCAAAGTACAGGTATGATAAGTTAACTTAGTGAACCCATGGGCTTGCAAATGACACAGGCTGCAGAAGAAATGCCCAGTGGAGACTGAGTCGCACCAAAGACAGCGAATGGCTTTTTCATGTCAGCTGTCGGATGGAAACAGTCAGGAGCCTGACAGTATTCCCTGAAGAGAGCAGAATACATCCCTGACATCCCTGAATGCGGCATTCACAATATCGGATTATATTTCCAAGAGATGAATGCAATACTAAAGGGGTAATAATTATTGTATAGAACAGCTATGTAGTAAATTTGGGATTTCATCACAACATTTGGGAAGGTTGAATTTAGCGGCAGTGAATGAGCAAGTCCAAGGAGATGAGACCGAGCTGGCCTGGCTGAAACTCATCCTGTCTTCGAACAGCTACAGTGCCACCTCCATGCTCAGCTGCCCCTTACAAAGTCCAAAACACTGAAAGCCTCGATGATGCAGACAGGTAGCCACCAACTTGAAATGTAAATCTTGATCTGAAAATGACAACTACAGTAACTAAAAGAAAAAAAATATTAAATCCCACATTTGTTTCTGAATTACTTTGCTGCCTGACTTATTTTGTTGGTGTTTGTTCTTTCCACAGCTCTGTCAGCGTGGCCTGTTTTACTCTGCTCTTGCAGCTGGTCAGCAAATCTCAACTTTTTTTGTTGATAAATTTTAAAGTGCAGTTAAGAAAAGAGATAATTTCATGAATTTAAAAAAAAATAATCCTGGTATAATCTTTTAAGCATGCCTTCTGAAAAAATCATACTTTATAATTCTCCAAGTCTCTTTAAAGGAAACACACAACATCTTGAAGTAGCAAAGTTCAGTAGTGAACTTTCTGAAAGCACCATGGAAAAATAGTGGAGTGGAAAATATAGGATGAAGTCTGAGGCTATGATGATATTAACATTTGTAAGTCAAATACAGGTCTTGGAGTGCTTTTGTCAGAAGGCGCCTGATGAAAATGTTAAGCTGGCTGTGAACAGGTGGGCTCAGGTAAATGAGGGCATGCGTGTTTCACAATTAAATGATCTAGACAAAATATCCTGAGTAGGGAATTAGAAGCTCATGTGACAAAGCTAGATACATAATCAGAAAGCTGAAACAGTGGTCTCATATATATCAGTTAGCTAATGCTCCTTAGCATGAATTTTAATAGTTTTTGTGGTTACCTATCACAAAATTCTTTTGCAGAAGAAGTATTAAATTACCTGCAAATATTATATAAGAGGATAGAAAGAAACTGATTTGCCTATACACAGCAAGGGGTGTGTGTGTGTCTGTGTCTGTGTCTGTGGTTGTTATTGTTGTTTGGGGTTTTTTTTAAAAAAAAAGACCAGGACACTAAGGACAAGATGTTAAAAATAAGTAATATATATAAGGAACCAAGCCTTTAACTACCATAGACAAAAAGATTTTTATCCTTAGGGATACAAATCATGCCACATGAAATGAATGAAAACATGTTTAAAACCCCCCAGATGCCACATTATTCGGTTAATAATAGTACAGTACTCAGTTGCTCGGTCATCTTATTTTAACTTAGGATCTTTAAAACATAGTCTTCCTACAATAGCAAACCTCTCATTTATACCATTTGACAGAAGAAATCCTTCCTTCCTATTTTGTCAGTAGATGTTAATGGTTAAAGAACCAGTCTTAGTGACTGTCAAACTGAACACTGATTTCAAAAAATACAAGCCAAACAGACCGGAATAAAATCAAGAGATTGTTTCATATAAATAAATTCAGACCACAGATAAACAGAATATTTAGCAATTAATAGATATATAATGAAGAAATCTACTGTGCTAGTGGCAAGCCGGACTGCGCTCAGTAGCTTCGGACGAGTGACAGTGATGGTGTCCGTACATCACTTGTGTACTTTGATCTCCTCTCTCCCTCTCCTGTTTCTCCCCTCGCCATCCTCTGTTGATATGAATCCCAAGTAAATTCTTCAGGACAGGAATGGTGCCTTTTTTCTTAAGTGCCCATAGAGAGCCCGGCATAAGTGCTGCAGATTGCTAGCTGCAGCTTCTACAATATTGTTAATAGTAAATAATAATATGTGGCTGTCGGTTCTGATCAAAACATTCATTTCAGTTTGAGTTATTCTTGTTATCAGATGTTTCTGCATATGCTTATGGAGGCTCAAGATCAATGTATCTTCTATATAAATCTGTTTATTTCTTTTAAAAAGGAATTCAGATTGAATTAATTGTTCTGGGAGTGAAAAGATTTTTTTTCCTCCCCAGCGTAATAATTTTCTTGAAGGTTATTCTTATCTCTGAGAAATGTATCAGCTAACAGTAGAGTATCTGCTATTATTATCATCCAGTAACCAGATACTTCCTGAGTTTCCATGTAATTGGGAACAAAAATGCACAATTTTGAATTCCACTATAATATTTAATTATATTACTTGATCAGGAACTCTTTTGACCTAACAGTTATCTCCTCCTTTAAGAGGAAAACTTCAGGCATTTTGGATGAAAGGACGGATCTGCCACTTTAAAGATGCTGGTGGTCCTTTTTTATATTTTGAAAGGCAGGACTCTGGCTACGTCCCTTTCAGGAATTTTTAAGCAAGTGTGTCACCTCAGAAAGAGGATACCACAGCCAATATTTGGTTATATAATTATGAGAGTTCTTTCTCTGTTTACAAACGTACAAACAATTTTCACAGGAGGGATAAACCCAGCCTTATCTTTTCTTATCAGAGTGAGCTATTAAGCAGCTTTGTAAAATAATTTATTCTCAATTTGACATTTTATACCAGGAGCTAAGCATTTCCTTGGGTTTTTTTTTGGAGGGTTATCTTTAATACTTGCCTCCCCCCTCAGCCCTCAGGCAAAACTGGATGGGAGTCACTGTGTTATTCATTGGTGGTGCTGACATGACTCTGCCCCTTATCAGGTACTACTGGTCAACAGGTACAGTGGTGGTACTCGGCTCCCTCAGATGTTTGCATATATTCATCTCTCTTGTTAAAATCTGGACTACAGGACCAGAACCTGAAATATATAAAATATTGGAAAGAGTTCCTATTTGCAAATTAAAAAGAACCCTTTTGCAAGTTGGCATTTCTCATAGAAGCAAAGAGGGAACTCCACCTTCCTCTTCTGAGTGGCCCCTGCGCCACCTCCCCTCCTCTCAAGGGACTACCGAGTCTTCACATCAGGTTACAGTCCTGCTTTTCTCATTGAAGCTTAATTAATGATGATTATATAATCCTCCCAAATGGCAAATCAAATCTCTTGTATTTGATTTAGCACAGCCAGTGACTCATGCAGTCACTCCGCACAGCTTGCGTTGCTGTTTCGCTGGTCGGCCGCTCTCGCCTGGGCACAGCTAATGCGAGGGCGGTTCGCTCATGTGCAGGCGACTCGTGTCACATCCCTGGTGTAGATACAGCTGCAGAAATGTCCTTGCAGCAGGGGTTACAGAGTGTGGCCTCCTGCACACCATTGCCGGGACCAGCCCAAGCGTGGACCCTCCTGCTAACACTGGCACTGGGCTGTGCAGCTCCTTTAGCCTCCAGCTATAGCTGAGCCCAGGAGCTCTAGGGACGGTGATCTTCTGAAAGACTGAACACATGCCGTGAGCTATGCGAACTTTCCTGAGCAATATCTGGGGCTTGCACATGCGTCTCTGTGCCCCTTCTTGGGTGGGGGAAAGGTGCCAGTGTCTGCTCCTCTGAGGGAGTAGCATGGGTTCGATGTAGGTTGTGCGTGACCTGGCTCCCCGATGGCAATCCTGCTGACAAGTCATCTTGGGAGATATCAGGTATTTGTTCTACTTTTTAGCAGAAAAAAAATTCTCTTTGGCATCTCAGTACGATGGCCTTTAAAGCCCCAGAGCTCCCACTAAAATTAGGGAGAGCAGCTAAGCCCCTAACTGGCTTTCTAAGCCTTATTCCTTCAAATTAATCCATTCAAACCCATCCCTATATGATGTTCTCAGCCATAAGTCACAATGCGATTAACGGAAAAGGTACGAGGGAGGAGGGAAGGGGGGTAAAGTCGCTGGGACCCCAGCATGCATCACCCCCCTCCCCCAAGCACCACCATTACATGAGCAATGAGCCAGGTTAAGTGAGAAGGAAAGGTGAGAGATTCATTAGGACTGTGGCTGCCCTGATCCTACATTAATAAGAATGGAATAGTTAAGTATCCTGATGGGATCCTGATGGGATCCAGCCTGCCCAGGGATAAAAGAGCCTCCCCAGCCAGCCCTGGCATCCCTGCGGCAGGAAGGCACAGGCAGAGCGGACTCAGACTACGTTCAGCAAACTGATGGAAACAAAGGTAGGATTTGGCATCGGGCAGCTAAAAAGGAACGGCAGAGAGATTTGTATTTAGAGAAGAACATCCTGTATCAGTCTCCCATGTGTAAAAACATGCTCGCACTTCCACTGCTGTGAAAAGCTACAGGGAAAAGCATTCTTGAATACATTCATACGGAAAGTCTCCCGCTAATTAAGCTTAATTTGCAATTTCTGTCTTTTTCCCCCCACAGTATGCTCAGCTAACTCTTTTCTTATCTTTAGCTTAGCCTCCTTCCTCCACAAACACCTCCGAAAAGCAGGATTTGGGCCCAGTTGATCCTACACAGGTAGGACGTGTGCTGCCCTGTGAGTGACAGGTCTCTCCTCTGCCACCCTGCCCACCACTGTCTTTCTCGCCCACTTGGCCTCACACCCAGAGTTGGCTGGAGAACAGGTATTTATTTAATGGGAAGAAAAAGAGAGCAATTACTGGTAGGTCTGGCAGGTGACAGACCTGGGGTGTGTGGGCTGGGGGGACGGTGCCCGATAACGGGGCACCCCAGGGCGTGGGGGGCCAAGCAGAGGCAGGAACCCAGCACACCACCGCACCCATCAGATGCTCGAAGGTGTCCGTGTGGCAAGTCCCCACGTCAAAGCACAGCTGCTTGCCCCCAGCCCCAGGGCTGGAAAGCTACCCAAAGGGTGGCTGCGTTCATACAGTGCTCACTTGAGCTGATGTCCCCCGTGCCTTGCTCAGGGTGCGGTGGGCTGACACAAGAAGCCGGTGGGGCTAACGACAGCCGCTTTGGAGGTTCGCACCCTCCTCCGGCTGCTCGCTCTGTCCTTGGCCCAAGGTTACCAGCTCCCAAGCAGAGTTTGCTGCTGCTACATCGCGAGTCAGGTGCACTTGCTTCCACCTTTGCTGGGAGGTGGTTTTGCAGTTGAATTAGGAGTCAGGCTGATGGGGGGGCAGAAGGGGCCATGGGGGTGACCTCTGGCCAAGGGGGAGCACCGCTGGCGACACTTGTGCCTTGCACTGGTGAAGGAAGTATTTCCACCAGGCTCTGCACTGAACTGGGGAAACTAGTCAGGATGGGCAAGCTGCTGTCCTGCGATGGGGAGAGGGGAAGGGGGCCAGGAGGCACCATCTTACAGAGCGGGAGCAAGGGCCGTCCCCTCCCTACTGACCGATGGGTCAGACTGCAGCAGAGATGGGAAGAAATTGGAAGAGACAAAATAAAGTGGAAGATTTCAAGAAAGGTGGCACAAAGGAAAGAAAAAAAAAATTGAAGCAGAAGGCACATGTCCTGTTAGAAAGCTATAAGCTAGGGTCTTTGGAAAATGATTTGGTCTCTTCTGAAATCAATATGTTCCCATTTAGTTTATATGCATTAACCTAGGGAAGATATCTGTAATGCAAGTTTTATCTTTCTTCTGAGAAATAGCCAGTGATACAAATGCTGGAGTATGAAATTCTAACGGGTAAGAGGGCAATATTAAGGTCACGCCAAAATAAAAGGCTGAAAATCCTTGAAGAAAATGGATCAGAAATTCCCCTGGTAGAAATGTATCCTTATGAGTCAGCACCTGAAATCCGGTTTCTGCTCTAAAAAACAGAACAGCTTGGTGTGCACGTCTGTCAGGCAGCCGCATTTCACTTCATTCAAACTAGAAAGCACACAGGCAGTTACATTTTTTTATACAAATAAAGCCTCAAATCAGATGGCACCAAACAAGAAATACATATCTCCATCCTGCACGTCGGTTTCTATTCTAGTCATGTGGAGCAAGAGCAGAAAGTTAAACGGGGACAGGGACAATTTTTTTCGCAGTGTGGCGTGCGGTTTTTGGAAAGCACGGTGGGGAATTTTTTTGCTGAGGGTGACCTATTTGGAACAATACCAGCAACTTTGGAAATGCCACTCTGGAGTTCAATCAGGCAAGTAACTAAAGCAAACTTGGGCAGGCAGGAGAAGGGAAAGTAATAAAAGAGTATTTCATTTCTGACACTAATGGCCGTGCAGCAATCTGTTTGTTAGGGAACGGGCGATGTGGAAATCTGCTCTTCATCCCCTAAAAGATGGTTTCCCTAGACCAACTGTGGTGCATTAGTGACTCTGCTGGCTGTATTTCTTTCCTTTTTTTTTTTTCCTTATTTTTTTTGGTTTTTGGAGAGTATTGGGTTCTGCAGTGCTGGAGAGGAACGTGACATGGCAGCTGGAGAGGGAGGCGGGTGGAAGTGTCCTCGGCCACTCCTGTGCCAGCGGCAGCGTGGGGCCGTGGGTGCTGGCGCTCAAGTATGTGGTGCTGCTGCCTCTCCCCAAAATTTTGCGGAGAAGGGTGGCAGGGCAGATTTGACAGGTGGTTAGTTTTGGCAGAGAATTCACATTTAATGTAAGCCAGCAGATAAGGTAGCAAGCTTATTATTTAGCTAATAGGTGCAGTCTTAGCACACAGTATTAGTGAGCACAAACAAACCCTCCTCAGAACTGGTCATTATCTGCAAACTTACCCAGAGTCCAGGATCACCGCTAACAAGTGAAGGGCAGTAACAAAAGCAACTAACATAATTTCACTCTTCATAGGTATGTGTCCAGCTATTGCAAATCAGCTGCGAGATCCGTGTGAAGCAAAATTTACCCCGTAATGTTAAAAATAGTCCTTTCTGTTAAAAGCCTGTCTTGTTCAATGGAGCAATACTTATATTTTATTTTACACAGCTAAAGTAACATTTATACAACAATTAAAGCTTACCATTGCTGTAAGACCGAAAATTTCCTACAAATTTTATGTATTCATATGTTGGAAATTCCTTTGGGTTCAAACTTCCTCTCAGAAGATGACAATAAAACTCTAGTTCATTGTCAGCTGGATTGTTAAAAGAAGAAGAAGAAGAAATAAATATACTATTTAAGCGAAACACAACCAATGGTGTCTTCCAACCCCAACCTTGCAACTGGCAGCACTAGAGCAGCTTGTTACCACTCCGAGTCCTATACACCTCTGTGCTATACATTGCAGGATGAGAGGCTCTGCAAGGCATCGCCTTGCAGGGATGCGGGTTGCTCAGTGCTGTGCAGAGGCAGAGGTCTGCCCGCGGCTCAGCGACAGCCGTCGGGACTCACTGGCCCTTCCCTTACACCACCTTCCTCGCAGGAGTTACGCTGCCACAGCATCGGCATAGCGAACGAGAGAAGTAGATCATTTATAGCTTTTTTTTTTTTTTTTTTTAATTTAGGCTTTTCATGACTCACAGCTGTTCTACATCTTGTGTTGGAAAACTATGCCTAATTACCTCAAAATATCTATTAAATTAACTTTGGCATATTAGCTATCAGCTGCAGGTTTTGTATATACAGTAAATTAAGCAGCTGTAAGTCTTACATTGTCGTGTGTTTTCTGGTTTCCTACGTCTTACCTCCTACAGTGAATAAGGACGAGGCAAGTAAAAGCGTTTTTAAGAAAAACAAAACTCAATTTGAAAAAGAATTACAATGATTTTACAGATACTTTTCAACTATATGCAAACCAAAGGTATGTGACATTTGCATATCTCTGAACGGCATCTCACTTGAACAGGCTGAAATATCAATTAAGATGTGATTTGTCTCAGGTGAACTCTCAGTTTCCATCGGCTAACCTATTTTCCTTAGCTGTCTCAAAAGATACGATATTTAATAATTAACATAACTGCAAGTAGTCTCAGCCTAGTAAAACAAAGGCAAAGCGTTTCATTTAAAAATAGGACCAAAGGGTCATTCCAGGTGGCGAGATCTTTTTAAAAGGCTATGAACCTAAGTTTTATATTGTACATCACATAAAAAACTCTTTCTGTGAGAAAACTTTTAATCTGCCCATGCTTTTTCATTTACTGGGGAAGATAAAATAAAACTTACTTTTTAGGTAATCCGATGAGGCAGAATCAGTCATAAGCATACAAGAAGATAACATCTTATAAATTTCTGAATGTTCCTGTTCTGGGAGGAAATTTAATAAATTCTGATCCAAGACATCACACTGCAAAGAAAAAGAACCTTTGAGAAGAACAGAAACAGCACAACAAGCAAAGATGTGCAGCCACGCGGCTACGAAGCCTGTGGCAGCTGACAGGAGTTTTCCCATTGATTTCCTGGGATTCCTGACGAAGCCAAAACCAGGGGGGAACTGCTGGGCAAACCGAGTGGGTGCTTCTCCATTGGGTGGTTCTCAGCTTAATTCTCCACGCTCCAGCCCCCGGGTGTCTCCAGCCCCACGGTCAGCTGGCACGAACCTGAAATCCATCTGAAGTCGAGGTACTGAGATTTGGGAGTGGGAAGAGGAGATGGATTTGTGCAAAAGGCCATGACCGGCCCAGGGTGGAGAAGACAAAGAGTGTGTCACAGGGTTGCCAAGAGGAAAGTCTCACTGTGTTCAGCAAGGTGACTAACCTAGCGCTAGAAGAGCGTACCTGAAAGGAAGTCCTGAGATAAAGTGGCCCTCTAATGGCATTGATTGACATCCATCCCCCTGGAGACTACCCTGGGCTGAGCTGGCACACTGACACAGCTTCGTGCGTCGTCAGAGCAGCTGCTATCTGACTGCTGAAAATGTGTTAGCCCTGTATGAGACTGGCAAGTTATTAATCATCATCATTTATTTATGTATTTACTTAAGATTGTGCTTTGGTTTCCCTCTGCTTTCCACCCAAGCCTGCTGTTCTGTGTGGACTTCGTGTTTAGAGTGGTGAAATGCATTGAGTATACTTTGAAAATTAGAGTGCTATGCTTTACACGCCTATCTTGATGCAATAATATATTACTTTAGATTATTCAGTTATAAGTTTTTATTACATGTGCTCATTACTTGAATATTCCTTTTGTGATGAATACTTGACAATTATTTTTGTGACTTTAGAGTATACCTTATTAATATGCATCCTACTGATACAGTATGTGATTAAGTTTTTATATATATGTATTTATACATACATTATGTTTATATCATGTATATATATTTATTTTATACGCACACATGTATCTATATACACACACATTATATTTATATTTACACAAAATGCATTACATTGTTCATGTAATTTTGGGCATATGAAGAAAGAACATCTGATGGAAACAGCAGTGGTGAGTCCTGTTCAAGGCTTACGGTACAATCTCAGAAAAGTAATTTTTGCTTCTCATTCCTTTTCTACCTGTAAATGGTAGATAATGATACTTATCCGCCAGTTTCACATAAGTCTTACGGGGGTTAATTAATCTCCCAGCCACTCAGCAGTAGCTGCAGGAGGACTAGATGTGAGCTGTCACCGCTCCTCAAACACTATTGCTTCTTCAGTGACCTGAGGATGTACCACCTTTTGTCTCCATATTGTGGCCAAGCTCTGATTCAAAACCTATTATCAGTTCTGCAGTGTTGTTTCCGTTTAAGGTGACAGCTGCAGAGGCCTGCGACTACGTCTGTGGTGGGAGACTTTTGTTCCACACACCCCTCAGAGCAACCTCCTGCCCTGAGCACCAGCTATTCAGAGATTTGCAAGTCTTGGCATTCATAGTTTTTGCCACCATCATGTACCATATCCAGAATTTAATGTTTGGTTTTCATCTTTTCTGTTAGGGAATGACTTTTTTTTCTTTTTAATCGCTATGAAAAAAATGATATCTCCTCCTTACTGTGTTTCACAGCTCTTGCCTCCTGCAGAAGCTAGGCACACATGTAAAGCAGTGCATGGAATAGAATTTCTGGATCTTGTATGCATCAAGATTCCAGCAATGTTTATGAATCAATATGTCAATCAAGAATATATTGACAGGTCAAATAGAGAGAAGGAAGCAAATATTCCACAGTCTCACTGGAGCTGTAGGAAATGCCAGGCAAGCTATTCAGAGCTAATTCTGCACCAGACCCAAAGTGCAGACATCTGGTGCCATGGCAAAAAGGTGACCGGAGGGATGGACAAAATTTGATCGTCACAGAGAAAAATGCATCGGTTGGAGGGAAACAGTTTGCAGCTTTGTCTAATTATTCTAATTATTCTGCAGTGGGCAGTTCTGCCCTGCTGGCAGACACAGCCACAAAGCATTGCTGAATGAGGCAGGCAAAGCGGATAAAAGATAAATTACAGTGACTGTGGGTAGAGTGGTTAGATGGACTACGTTAATGCATATTTATGCTGCTAAGCTTGGAAGCTACTCTGCGCCTTGGAATCTGTGGATCCCGCTAACAGAAACTTCTGAGTATTTACCCCGATAGCTACAGCAGGCAAAGAAACAACAGCTCTGCATACGTGGATGCTGGTCTGTTCTTAAAAAACCACAGAGTAAACTCGTCCCAAGTTCTGCAGTCATTTGATGTATAGCTTAAATATCTGTGCAGTTTCAACAAAACAGCT